ACTTGTTAATCTAATGAATAACTGATTTGTTAAATCAAATGAAAAATTGTGTTTTTGATTGGTCCAGACGCTACAATACTCATGATTTTATGGCATCAATTACTGCTTTATTTAATCATAAACACAGTCTAATAATTTTTTGTGTATTTTGCTTTCATCTTATTAGAAGTTGGCCAACAGCGCCCCCTATGGAATTAAAACTCCTTACTGAGCGGGCATTAGGACCCGGGGGAGGCTGCACGTGATCTAATCGCTAGCACACCCTGAGCACATATGAGTTAATATATTCCTCTTATCGGCAAGACATATCGGCATCATTTTTCATATCAGGCCGATGCTGATATAGATATATTTTTTTATATTGATGTTGATTTTATATGGCTATATGATATAACTGAAATAAAAATAATCTAAATTAACTTATAAAAATGACAAAATCACATTACAAAGTTACTAAAACTTAAACTAAAATGAAATTGAAAACTAAATTTTCGAAAATTCTAATTTGATTTTTCTAATTTTAGAAAAACTAATTTTCTAAAAATTAAAAATTAAAAAAATAAACATAAAAAACTTTTTAAAAAATTCTTAAAAAGAAAAACATAACAAAATTACTAAACCAAATTAAAATATAAACATCTTTCCAACCATAAGATATTCCAAATCTTGTGAAAAAAACAAACAAAAAAACATAATATTATATACATAACAAAACTACTAAAACTAAAACCAACATGAAGTGAAAATGAAAACTGAAAATATAAAAATGAAAGCCTTTTTGGAAGTTTTTATTTTTCAAGAAAAGTTTAAATAAAATGCAATATAGAGAATAATAATAAATAAATATAAAAACGTAGTATAAAAAAGTGACATTTTACAACCTAAAAAGGTCAGATTATCCTCCCAGACTGGTCTATAGACAGACTCTGTGGTTCATGTACACATGTATTGTTTGTTATTTTGGTGTTGCAGGTCCGGAGGGCTTGGGTTTCAGCATCACCTCCAGAGACGTCCCGATTGGTGCTTCCGCCCCCATATATGTGAAGAACATCCTCCCGCATGGAGCCGCCATCCAGGACGGCCGTCTGAAGGCCGGAGACCGGCTGCTCGAGGTGAGAATACCTGGAAGCTGTTGACAGCAACGAGTCACATCACATGGCCTTCACGTCCTCTTCCTGTTCACAGCTTCCTGAACATTCAGCACCATATACAGCTTTTCACATGCCTTTCTTATATTAAAAACCCGACAAACATCTTGTGTGTCATACAGAGGGTCCAACGACTTCTTGTTTTCCGGAGGATTTCCCCTCTTAGTCCCTTCTGCTTGGTCTATCGGAGGCAAGAGATCCATTGTTTTCCTCTCTCCCCTGTGAGAAGCACTTTCCTTTTTAGTTTGGGAGAGTAAATAACATTAATAAAAGAGAATGGACAAAAAGAACTCTAGCTGATGGCTGATTTACAGTGACAGCCAATCAACAATGGCTATTTCATTTAGAAATGGAGCAGGACACCTGCAGGCTCTCATGCCAGATGCTACCGTGGAGCCAGAACGTCATCCATTTGTCTTAACAAACACTGATTCATCGCTTTAATGGAGTCGAGGCCTTTCAGAGTGCTTTCGCTTCACCCCTTGCCTTTATGTTGCCATAGAAATATCAAGACAGTACTTCCTGTTGTCATGCTCATAATAATGCGACTGCAATTAATTGTAATGCTTGATCGGATATAATTACACGGAATATAATTCAGGTTTTATTTGTTGCTTTATTAAACACGCTTTCAGATGACTCGCATCAGAGTCTGTAACATCAGATTTGACAGCAGTGCCACTTTTGCACAGGTTTTTAATATGATGCTCAAACCTCTTCAGTCAATAATTATGTGTGTGTGTGTGTGTGTGTGTGTGTGTGTATATATATATATATATATATATATATGCAGTATATATATTAATACTATGTGTAGTAATTCTGATATTAGGAATATTATGTGTTATATGCAAGTTATTTTAGCTACAAATTATTTAAAAGTTGTTTGTTATTATTTTTTTTTAAATATGTTTATATAGTTTAAATTTTTTTATTTCAGTTTTAGTTTAATTATAGTAGGTCAAGTTAAACTAAATTAAAATTAAAAATATTGCCTCGGCAACTAGCTGAAATAAGGAAAAGTTTAATAAAGATAAATAATAAAGTTTTATTTTATTTTATTAGTATTATTATTATTTTCTTATTTAAAGTTTAATTTATTTCAAGTATTTAAAATGTTTAGGGTTAGGGTTAGGGTTAACTTTTTTATGGTTTTATTTTTAGTTTTAGTTAACTATAATAACCCTGCAGCTAACTGATGTAAATAAGTTGAATTACTAAAATTTCTAGAACTAAAACTGAATTAAAAATGAATTAAATCTAAAATATATTAAACAAACTAATAAAAATGACAGAAGCAAATAACAAAAATACTAAAACCTAAACTAAAATGAAAACTGAAAATATATAAAAAAGAAAAATAATAATGCTATAATAGTATGTAAATAAAAAAAAACTAACCTGTAAATATATATGTGTGTGTGCATACTTATTTATTATTTTATATAATATAAAAAATATTTTAGAAATGATTGTGTTTGGTTTAGTGCATATGGTTTACAAAATGAAAAATATACATTGACGAAAACGGATTTGTTAAGACAAAAAAGGAGTCTTTGGCTGTCAGATCTTCATGTTTCTGATGTTTTCGGTGTTGTGTGGGTGTAGGTTAACGGAGTGGATCTGAATGGTAAGACTCAGGAGGAGGTTGTGGCTCTGTTGCGCTCGACTCCCATGGGAGGCACTGTAGGTCTTCTCATCGTCAGACAAGAGGACACTTTCCTGCCCCGCGAAGTGGTGAGTCACACGCTCGCGCACCCACACACACACCTAAATGTGCAACCATCTTAAAATGGCTTAACAATAGCCATAAATGGTCTCTCGATATCACACAGAGTTCATATAGCACCATGAAATAGCCTCTTCAACTCTTTCCCTGCCTCTGGCCTATTTAGGTCACATGTGTGCCATAGAGGCAGCTGCCACCCGCCTAAACTCATTTTGAAGTCATTATTATTTCCATAATAGATAATTCAGGAGTGGAGATGAACTCCGGGCTGCCTTGAAATTTGTATGCAGATTTTTTTTTCTTGGTCGACATTCCATAAAGATGCTTCTGTATTCAGCCAGTGCTGAAGGTTCCCATTGGCTGTATCAGTGATCTGTTGTTTACAGCATCAGTAAAATTCCTCCTTTGCACTTAGCAGTGTTGATGACAGGAAGTCTAAAGTTCTTTTGTTGCAAAATCTAGCGTAGCGTTAGTTCTGGCAGGTCACGTTAGTCAAGCTTGCATCAGCTGACTCTCAGCTGATCCCCATCAACCTATGGGAATACGACACCTATCTAAGCATTCATATATAAAGTCCCTCAGTATTATCAGCAGTTTTTATTGCTATTATTGCTCAATAGCTAATTACCCTCCTCCATCCCCAACTCCTCCTCTGTCAGTCAGGATTCAGCCTTCTGATTATCCTTTGACTCAGACTAATTCTAAAATGTGTACATAACATTATTGAACTTTAACAATATCTGCAATACATTTATGTTGGTTCTGTTCTGTTTACCCTGGGGGGTTATAGGCTGCATGGATGCGCAGGGAGTTCTTGACCAGAACAGAACCATACCGCCAATCCAAATTGTATGCTAATTGTCAATCATCTTTGACGATAGTGGTCCTGACAGAAATGCGTCCGAAGACAAATTTGAATGCACCAAAAGCATGCATTGCATTCATAAGCTGACCATAGTGAGAGCTAACGGTTTTCTTCTACAGTCAGTTGTAGCTCTTTTAGATTAAGGAGAGAATCATGCTGAGCAAGATAGTCCAAGTTAGTTATTGTCCATATACTTATAGCTAGTTAAAGCTAATTACATTGTTAGCTACTAGCTTCCTGAATTTGAAGGTAACTATGTCTCCTATCAAAACTGCAATACAGACTCAATCAACATTGTGTGCTTTCAGTGGGACTGTCAAGACTGCTAATTGCAAAAATGTGCCTCTACCTACATGTTTGCAAAAATTAAAAAATGTACCTACAGGCCTACACACATTTTACTGCAGTTTCAAGCTGAAATGAACAATAGTGGCAGTAAAACACAGACAACTTTTTTTCTTTTTCATGCAAATTATGATTACAGCGGCAGATTGTCAATTAATGATGACTTAATTCCATGCAGTTCCTTGCACAATACTATGTTATGACCTCAAAACATTTTTACCATAGCACATGATTTGTAAACTAATATCATTTGAAGTTTGGGTTGCATAACCAGTTCCATCTATATGGCTTTTCTAATGTAGTAAACTTGCTCTGTAGCGCACCCGGTACAGCATTGCACTTACTAGTTGCATTAAACACGAATCACAATAAGTCTTTAAGAGCCTTAAAGCTTAAATAAAGAAATAAGCTAAAAAGCCACTGTTGCTTCAGCAAATGCATTTTTATCTCACATTTGCTTGTTAACACTTTAGTGTAGTTTCTATGGTTTTTTTTCACCCAATGCAATGAATACAGCATTAACAATTTAGCGCAACTTACAGGATGTTTCATTTCTGTAATGCCATGATGGATACAACGGCCAACATAATAAAACATTGCCAGATTCATGTGTTTCTATTTTAGATCAAATTTAACATGCTTTTAGACTTTCATTTTGAAAGTGTCACAACATAGTTTTTCAGAGAAGTCACCACAGGACTGGGTTGGACTATGTCTTTGTCACTCAATTGCAGAGTGTTAAGAAATCTGCTATTTTTCTTAAAAGGATACAAAATACCATAAAGTACACACCCAAACCAATTGAAGAGTCCAGCGTGTTTTGATCAGCAGCATCTTCATAGAGGCTTGAAAAACACATCCCCGGAAGCGAGTTCAAACGCAGGCTGATTGATTTTGGACTTATTTAAGCTTGGGGTGATTGAGAGCGGGTGAAGATGAGGTTTGACTTCCTTTCTCTGGCTCCGGCAAGATTTGATTAAAGACACCATCAATGAAGACACAGTTTCACCAAGTCTCCCGCTCCACCTCGTTTCTCATCAACTCCCCCTTAAAATGTGGAGTTTAAGACATCAGAACGACAGGGGTGGGAAGAGAGAAAGCGAGGGAAGAGATAAACTGTTGGACGCTTCATTACTCTTATTGTCACATTAACATTCAGGAAGCTTCGGCTTTTCAACGCACCCCATTCAGGCATTAAAGGATCTCAATAATCCATACAAGTATGTTCATAAAAATCAGATTACAAACGCATCGCTCTACTGCTGACAGTTATTGCAAATAAAGTGGAGAGAGAGAGGACAGCGGAGGGTTATTGATGCTATTTTGTAGGTCTGCGTGAGGGAGAGAGAGTGTGGTGGTTTAATATGATGCTATGGGAACGTTGTCATGTGAGCCAATCACAGTGCCAGACTATTAGCGAATCATCGGGGAAGTTCTAAATCAAAAGACTGAGTGACACACTCTGCCACAGTGACAGGTTACAGTCTAATAAATCAACACAGCCAAGCATTTAGTCTATGCCTTATGATATTCGAATGCACAACGCAATTAACGTCAAATTATTATAATGACATCAGGAGAGAAAGTAACAGAACGGAGGCCTTTTTATGAAACAGGACATAAAAACAAGCAATGCTAACCGCTAACGTGCTGAGAGATCTTATTTATTTATTTTCATTTATCTGCACGCATACGATTAGCCTCCGAGGCATCGAGGGAATTGCAGACATTTTGCGAAAGCACGCACGTCAGAGGCAGTGACTTATTGATAGGGGCGTCAGCTTTAACCTTTGCTTACAGCCGAAGTCTGGTCCTGAGGGAGCCGCAGAAAAATTAGCTTTGATGCCCACGGCCAGCCCTCGCCCTTTAGAGAAAAAGAGAAAGAGAAGCGAGAGAAGGAGGCCACACCATGGGCATGTTCAGTGAACTCCAAAGAGACTGTTGAGCTGGAATCGATGAAGCGCTGTCCTTGGAGTGTGGCTGAGGGGCTGGTGTTAGTTGAGTGCAATTATAGGTCATGTGGCACTCAGAGTGCTGTGTGTCATGGTCAGTGTCAGATACTCACGAGATTACTGATCTTTAAACAACTGAGTTGTTGCTTGGTTTGCTGCTCCTGACAGGTAGATTGTGGCTCGCTGACTAATTTAACCCATTCTGGGGTCAGTCTTAGTGAAGTCTTTGTTGTACAGACTACAACCCTTCCTTTCCCACCTAATGCCGGTGTGATGTACCACGACTGATATCAAGTTTTCTTCTCATCTGATGGTGTCAGTGTGGTCATTTCGATAAATTACTGAAAGCTAAGTGTCTTTCAGGCCCCAACTAAGCAAGCCAAAAGGCGACAGTGGCAAGGAATCCAAACTCCATCAGGTGACAGAAATGGAGAAAAAAACCTTGGGAGAAGCCAGGCTCAGATGGGGGACCAGTTGTCCTCTGGCCTGATGGGAACCAGTTCTCTTTACCTCTGGCTCAAATGGAGGACCAGAAGCGGCGACCAATTCTCCTCTGGCATTCACTTAGGCCAAAGGAGAACTGATCGCCCATCTGAGCCTGGTTTCTTCCAAGTATTTTTTTCTCCATTTCTGTTTTTTTTCTGTACCTCAGAACCTCAGCAAATCTAACCTTTTCTCACTCCCAACTCGTCACATATGGACACTTGGTCAGGACACTTTTCTCTTTTGTTGGTGAGGCGTCACTTTTTAATGCACTGCGCATCATGCAGGGTACTCTAGGTCTTACTTTCAAAGAGATACCTTTGACATCAATGCACAGACAGGGCATTGGACATATATAGTCAAGAAATCATATATTGATGTATAATTACTCTATTTAGATTTTGAGCACCTAGCCCAACGCAACCCGTAAAACTTACCATTTGTCAATATAAAACAAAGGATATAACAGACGTATGTAAATATAGTCACAATTTATTATAAAAAAAATGACAAACATTCAAGATCTTCTGAAGCCAAATGAATAATTTGCATGAGGAACAGACCCAAAAATGATCACGGCCCTCATCCCCATGTTCAAATCACAAACACATCAAAAATTCCACCTGAAGAAGCGTTACGTCAGGTTTGATTGCAAAATTGCATTGACTCATATGTGTTTTGTGACCGATTGCAACATGGTAATGTTAAGATTTATCTTTTGAATGAGATATGACTTTGTTAATGTTAACATTTTGTTAACATTTTGAGTGATTAAAACATTAAGTTTCACTCTGTATGGCTTCATAAGTCTTGGAATATAACATAAGTTGATTATAATACTTATACTGTTTGCTGGTCAGTTTTGCAATACATTTCTGTGACTGTAATTTTATCTGCCCTGTTACGTGTTTTATATTGTTGAGAAATTGTGGTTGTGGTTAAGTGCTTACTTTTACAAATGCATGCAAAGAATCAAGTGTGTCTGGATCTGACGCACAAGGCAAACAATTGAGGTAATGGAGTAACCTGCACATTGAAAAAAATATGCTTAAAGGGTACCCAGTGCGTTAAAAACTGATGCCAAGGGATCCTGAGCAAGCGTCAATATGTGACGAGTTGGGAGTGAGAACATGTTGGCAAATCTATCAACAAGTTCATCTTTGGAAGTGGGCCACTGAAGAAGTCTGCAAACTTGTAAATAGGGCTTTGTTTTCTGCAGTTCAGTAAAGTCCTGTATACACAAATGCTCAGGATTTGTGTAAAGCTAATCAGATTGGATTTTGCAAGAGCTTCATTATGTGTGCCGCATGCATAAAATTGGTGTCAAACAGTCTGTTGGTGCTCTACGGCAGTGACGTCTGAG